AAGAGCAGACAGTTTTTTTTCCAGGTGTGCCCAAAGCTGCACTGCCAGAAAGCTGCTGCCTTCCGTGGATAAATGAAGACCGTCAGACAAATACGAAGAGAAATCCTACAGGGGAGGTTAAACCACGTGTTAATGTATTTGCTAGATGCAAACAGAAAGTCTTGAGTAATTTTAAAGTAAGTTCTTCATAGCCAGCTCGTATATACACTGGTTTTAACTTCATCATTCATACTAAAATGTTAAGAGAATGATTTGATGGCCAAAATTGCCACTATTCACCGGGAAAAGATACAGGACTAAGTGATGCGATCAAAATATTGAGTCTACTGCAGCAGGGAGCACAGGAGATTCTGCATCCAAACTGGAGTTCCCTGCTTATGGGAGAAGTCTGCCATCTTTGTCACAGGGATGAATTTGGATATTTAGTCAGAAGCATCAGCAAGGTACCCGCTAACTCGGAAGTTAGCTCAGCACTGTGCAGTGGGTGGGACCAGGTGTCTCCTGATGCCCCTTCCAACCTAAGCTACTCCGTGATTCAAAGTCCAAAGAAACAGTTATTTCCCTGTAATGCATCCAGGGAAAATCCCAGTGTAACTGGAATCTACTTTGTAACATCTCAAAGGTAACGCAGCACTAGTTCCTCTATGCTAAATAGATGCATGTTACAGTCTGTCACAGTTTCCAAAGCCATACTCGTGACATTGTACCTGTTTTTTTTGCATCAGTGTCCAGAGGTCAAGCGCGTCTGTCCCGCAGTCCCTGGCCACCTGCACGCAGGCCTGCGCGTACTCCCCGGCGGTGGCGTTGCAGCGATTCAGCCTCTCCCCTGCCAGCCAGGAACAAAGGAAACCTTCAGCAACTGGACACAGTGCTGTGACACAGAGTGCTGTGACACACTGAAATGCTGGGGTTTGAACCCCGAGCCCTGAATTGAGGTTGACATATGGGTGATTCCCACAGCCCTTCATAAAGAGGTGGTGAGTTTGCCTTATAGCTTCCCCCCAGGGTGCGGCCGGCCCTGCAGGGAGAGCCAGAAGGGAAATGAGCCCCAGGGGTCCCGCATGGAGTTGACAAAGGTCAGGGGTCTGCTTGGGGATAAAAGCTGGGACCACTTGCAGGGAGTCAGGAGTGTCTGTCTGTGGAGTGCACTCCACAGAGCTTCCTGGTTCAGGGCAGACCTCCTGACTCACCCTGGGGCTGGGCCCCGCTCAGTTCAGACCTTTGCGAACGCGGGCTGATCGGGTGAGAGTCACTATGTGGGCACCTTTCTCTTATGTGTTTAACTGGCTGGTCTGGCTGTTTCCCATGCCAACTGTGGGAAACCTCGGGTCTCTGTTTGTGCCACCTGTTGTGGGCCGAGTCGTGTCGTTTGTGGGATCGTTGGGGGTGGCATCGATCACGTACGAGCTGGTTGACTTGTCTGTACCCCCGGCGGTCATTCATATCATAATGTTTTTGTTTACAATACAGTCTGTGTATTGGATTCTCTTTCTGTTCTGGAAGCACACACCCCCCTCTCAATGTGCTGTGGGAGCACGTGCTGGGCCTGTGAGCTCAGAGCAGCCGCCAAAGGAAGGTCAGGGAATATGCAGGTCTCCTGGGGGACCAGGGAGGCAACCTATTGGCCTATCCCGACCTTCACCCAGCTTGGGAAGGGGGACAGCAATGGCTTAGGGGACTCAGAGAACCCAGATGCATCTCCATGTGTGGGACTGACCTAAGGAGTCGCCTGATGCATTGGCAAGGTCAGTGCCTACCACCTACACAAACTCATGGCTAAGGGGAACATTACACCCCTTTTTAAGAAAGGCAAGGAAAAGGACCTGGGCAGCTGTTGATCTCAGCCTCACCTCAGTGCTGGGAAAGACAGCAGGGTTACCTACTCTTGGGATTCATTTCTAAACACGTGAAGGACAAGAAAGAACTATCAACACAGGCTTAGCAAAGCCAGACAGTGCTTGACCAGCCCCTTCTGTGATTAAATGATGGCTGAGCAGATGACATGGGGCAGCTCTGACATCAGCAAGGGCTTAGACTCTGTCTCCCACAGCACCCTCAGTTGGAAGCCATTTCTTTTTGTGCCTCTTTCCACACCTGGATGAGTGCTCCTGTGAACATCATCATCACTCTCATGTTTCACATCTCTCCTCTCCTCTGCTCTGACATCTGTCTAACAAAACTAGAAATAAGCAGAACATTTCTCCTGGGTACTGTTTGAGGGCAGATGACATGTTGCTGCTTGCTGTAACAAATACTTTATTTGCGGTCCATGGTCTGAGATCACCCTGTCTTCTGTTCCATCCCTAGACAGAAATCTCTTTTAGACAGATGATGGCAGACCCAACACTGTAAATGCAAGTTTCCTCCCTACCTACCCCATAAAAATTATAGCTGTAAGACAAAAATGAATTAATGACATTTTAAAAGTGTTACTTGATAGGTAGGAGCCAGAAATTCACAAGTGTGCTCACCTAACAGATCTTCAGAAGGACAAGGAGGGTGCATGCTGACTGACTACACTACTTAGGATGTGCAACTCCACCTAAATTAGAGGAAACCTGCAAATACTGAGGTGACAGCTCTGTATTTACCTATCTAACCAAAAAGTGTTTTATAAAAGTGCAAGAACAGGACAAGCTGGCCCAAAAGAAGAGGACATGCTCTCAGGAGGTGTGAGCCGTCGCTGCCGGAGCCAGTGGGGTCACGGCCATTTCCACCCGCTGCGTAACACGAAGCAAGCAGCGCTCTTACCTCTCTGTTTTTAGAGTTAGCTTGAACAACATTATGAGAAATCATTTCATCACCTGCTCCTTTTTTGGGAACTTTTATTAGCATCCTTAGGACACAATGTTCTCTGGGGTTTTTTAAAATTTAAAATAAACCTGGCTAGGATATTACTGCTTATCCAAATAGACGTGAAATACACCATGACTATCATAAAATTTTCTAAGGCACACAATGCCAAAACGTCTTCTATTCTTCCTGTTATTTGGAAGCTGCTAGGACACAACAGAGTCTGCCTAGGACAGCAAAACCTATGTTCTCAGAGGGCAGCCACTTCTGTCGGTTTTAGGCATGAACAGATCAATCAACATTTTTGAAAGGATGTGACCAATTAGTTGGTAGTTATTCCATGACCTTATCTAAAAGCTGTTTAGTGAAAGAGCCAACAGTCATTTTCCATCTGCTCCCAGGACACAGCTGCAATCTGGCAGAAGCATTAAGCTCATCAGCTGCTGGCCTGCCAGCAGGAACCTACAGCCTGCCAGCAGAATGCAGCAGTTCAGCCCACCCAGGTCACTCCTTTACCTCTGGCGAGACACGCCTTTTCCCAGGCTGACTCCTGGAGAGGTGGTGGTGTTATCAAAATAATCCTGTCTTCAGTGATGTCTACTGACTTCAGATACTGAATCATGCTCTTTAAGTTTGCAGCGTATTCCTCCAAAGGAACGTGTTGCTTAGGGTTCAGATCTGTTAGGGGACAGACAACGTGCACTAGCAATCTTAAACTGCTTAAAGATTTTATCACACAACATAACATGCTCTCCACACAGCATGTGAATGTGGACACTCGTTTCCAGAACGCAGTTCACCTCAGCCATTGATTCAGGAGGCGTGGCAGGAAAATGCCACTCCTCTGCAGCCAAAGCAGAGAAACCAAGAATTTAAACACACCTTTCAACTAACACAAATAAGGCAGAAGGGGTAAAAAAAGAACCAACAAACCACAACACCACACCCTTCCTTTTTTTTTTTTTAAGACCCTTTTTCTTACAATTCTATATCTTGGTATCAGATCATGTAACTACTTCAACCTCACCTGACATAAAAACTAAGGTTTTTAACTCTCTCGAATGCATGGAAAATTTGGGAAATTCCCTTAGATCTACAGTCACTTCTTTGTGCACTGATGTTATCATTTTGATTGGATTATCTCTGCATGCTGCTATGCTTATCTTAAAGAGAATCTGAATGCTACCTTCCCTCATTTCCTCAACCCATCTGCCAAGAACTCATCAGACCGCTTTAAAGGCAGAAAAATCAGCTAGATGGCCAACTCCAAGTGGTAGATATACAACTCGTTCTTGAGCATCTTGAACATTATTTTTAATATTAAAACTTGGTGGGAGAGAGAGAAATAGAGGGTACTACATGATTTAAATAGAAATTATTGAAAACTATCCACTGTAAAAATGAAAAGAAGGCAACCAGTTCATAGGGAAGCAGCAGGAAGTCTAAGTAACATTCTGCCTTTTCTTCTAAGTTGTAAACATTGTCTTAAGAGAACAGGTCACAGAAAAAAAAAAAAAACACATAGGAAAGCTTCCCTACCTTTCAAAGCACTGTCATTAGCTCCAAAGAAAATAGTAACTGCAACAATACTCTCAGCACTAGTACTTTTAGAGATCAGTCTTGGAAGGATCAGTTTGGCCCATCTGGTGTTGTAGCCCGAGAACCCACGGTTCACAACATCACATTTTCTGAAACAGAAATACGTATCAAAATTAACATCTCTCCTCTGCCCAGGAGAGCAAAACTTTGGAAGCTCTGAACCATTCTGTCAGGATGCCTCTGTCCCTCTCCGAAACTGAGATGTCACAGGAGTTTTCAGGGGGTTGTGTTTTGAAATCACATGCACAGATCACTTCTGTAGTATTCACCTGCCACTTAGACCATGAAACCAGAACAAGAATCTTGACAATCACAAAGGACCTTTTTCTTTTCACTCAACCTCTGAGCGGAAAGAAACACTCAACATGTATTTCAACCAGTACTGGGCAGGTTAGCATTAAGGCAGTCCCACATCAATAACCAAATAAATGTTAATAAATAAATATACATCTAATATTAACTCGTGTTTGTTTTCTTTTAGAAAAGCTGAACAACTTCTTGCATGCTAGAAATTACTATTGAAATTTAAACTCTTACCTGACCAGTCTCTCAGCAAGGTATGTCCCCCAGCCACCTTCCTCGAAGGAGAGCTGAAAGGACAGTGGTTAGACCCTCACTGGAAGCACTCGCTCCCCAGCAGGTCAGTCCCTCCACCGGCTCCTTCCCTGCTCCCAGGCTCTTTGTGCCCGGCTGTGGTGGGGCTTCCTCCCTGCCCTGTCCCCACAGCGTCCCACAGCCCTGGGGCTCGCCGAGCCAC